TTTCCCATCTTTTTGGATTCTACAAACAAACAAAAAGTTTGTTTTAACTCTAGAATCACTAGCTCCTATATGATTTTCCAATTTTTATAGTACATTCATATAGAAATTTGTATTCAATTTGTAGTAGATTTTTATAGTAGATTTTTAACCAAATTTGTATTCAATTTTTGTTAATTATAATATACTGCCTTTTGTAAAAATATTACTAATATTTTGATGAAAATATTTACTTTGATTACATACAAAGTTTTTTTTTTGTCAACAAATCAAATAAAAAGTTTTTTTTTTAAGGAAAATAGTTTTCCAAGATTTTCCTCTTTACTTTTTATTTGAGTGATTAATAATGTCGAAATATAAGAGACATTAACATGTTTTTAAATAACCCGACATAGAGAGGATGTGTGGATGTATGTACGATATGCGACACATGCCCAAAGGAATATTTCTATGATTATTTGGATACAAACTCATTTTCGTAAACTTTTTTAGAAATTTCGGATGCTGCTAAATGCTAATGGTGATGTTGCATGGAGAAAATAGAAATTGCATCCAAAATCTTTAAGAGATCAAAATTTCATATTGTATGATGCTAATGGTGAATTTGGATGCTGTCATATTTTTTTTGGTAAAAGATGCTGAATCATGATTTTGCGTCTACATTTTCTTGAAAAATCACAATCTTAGAATTACTATTTGGTACCACAATGTTGAAATTAAGGTTTTATACCGGAAATGCAAGCATGCAACATTGCTAATTATAATTTTAGTGTCAGGAATTGCAATTTGATGTCAGAACTTGTTGGAAATTGGTTTAGTTCTTAGCTCGGTTTAGAACTGGTTAAGTTCAAATGGGAATCAGAAGCTGGTTTAGGTTTGGTATGCATTCCGGTTATTGAATGAAGTGAAACGGCTGCATTTTGCTGATACTCCTTGGTCTTATCTACAAGTCAGAGAAGAGATCTGATCCGATCAAGAGGAAGCTCAAGAGTGCATGCGATTTCTGTTACATCTTGTTGTAACTGTTTGTATTTTTGATTCTTGGTGAGTGAAAGAGAGAGATAACACACGAGTTAGCTCTAGGATCTCTTAATCTCTTCTTCTGATCTTATCTTTTTTTTTGGGTAGAATGAGAAAAAGTTGTTGAAAATTTAGGTTGGGTGAGTGAATTGGAAAACATCTTTCCTACCGAAAAACTCT